CTGTTGTCACTGTTGTTGTTACTGCTGTTATTGCTGTTATTTTTGTTATTGTTGTTGTGTTGGTAGTGGTGTTATTGGTTTTGTTGTTGTTGTTGTTGTTGTTGTTGTTGTTGTTCTCTCTCTCCCCTCTCTCTCTCTCTCTGTCTCTCTGTTTCTCTTTCTCTCTCTCTTTCTCTCTCTCTCTCTCTCTCTCTCTCTCTCTTACAATAGGTGTTTGTTCAAAGTAGCTGCAACATTTGATGAACAAATGCGAGGTATGTCTGAATAGGTAATTTCAAGACCAATGTTCATTTCGTTGAGAGTTTAATCTGGTTGGCTTTCCACTAGAAATTTTTAGAATAGAGCCAGCTCATTTTCCATTTCCATGGCTACTTTCTCAAATCTCTACTCGCCTCGTGGTTTTGTTTTGTTTTATTTCTTTTGGGTTTGTTATTGTTTTGTTTTGTTGGAAGGGGGGGGTGGAGGGGGGAGGGGGGTTTTGTTTTTCTGTGCTTTTTTTTTGTTGTTTTTTTTTTTTGGGGGGAGGGGGGTTTTGTTTTCCTGTGCTTTTTTTTTTTTCTTCCAAAAGTTTAGATTCGATCCTTTGGAGTACGGTACTGTATGCAGTACTTCGGTTGATTTACAGCTGCTTAGCATGTAATCGTCACCTCGCTGAAAGGCTTCATTTAGTCTCTGCTTATCCTAGAGAGAGAGAGAGAGACTCTTCAGTATTTTTGGTTAGGAATACCAACTATTATGTTGCTGTGATTTTTGTTTGAGACGTATTACAATGTGTTTTTGGAAAATGCTTTTGTTGTTAAATCTTGAGAAGAAAAAGGCGATTTTTGGCGGGTTGCAAAAGGGGGGGCTTTAGTCGTGTTGCTTTTATTAATGAAATCCTTATTCGTTTGTTCTGATCAATTGGATTTTCTTTAAGTCATAATTACTCGATTCTAAAATTAGATTTAAACCAGTTGACTTAGATTCGGGTTATTAAACTTCTAGCTTTGTTCTTTTGTGATAGTTTCTGTTGTTGTAGAAGAAGTAACTGGTTTAATGCTATGTTGACCTGATAAAACTGTTGCTAAGAAAACCAAAGTTGTGGGGTTTTTGTAACTCCTTTAGAAATGTTTAACCCATGTTTATCTCATTTCTATCTGCAGATTATTCTCAGTAAATGATGGGATACAAGTAGATCAAACTGAGAGCAATAATTAGTTAAGCCATGCAGACATTATACATCCTGCAAACAGACAACCGAAATGGAGAGACAGATGAAGATAGTGCTGAAGGAAAAAGATTGCCCGTCAATAAAAATCTCACAGCTCGACAACTGAATGCTTAATGTTCTTTAACCTAATACACTTAACATTGTGTTATCTCACTTTGGGGGGAGATAGTGAAGTGATTACAACTGCAGAGATACTGACTCAAAAACCGATGATTTTTCTGGTAAACCCCTGAGAACGGAGATACGAAAAGGGTGTAACCCAGTGTCTTTGTTCAAGCTGTTTCTTGATGGTGGTGTAATATCCCAAACACAGTACAACTAATCGATTGGAGGAACTGGACCAGAACATTGTCAATCATAGGTTCAATATCTACATGAAAAGGTGGTGGTGATAGCCATTTTTCGTCTTCAGCTTGATTAGACTATCAACTCGCAAACGCTTGCAACCGTGGTGTAGTAGTTAGATGCTTTGTCCTCGCACGCAAAAAAATGTGAACTTGATTTCCGCGTTGGGAGAGTTTCTTTAAAGCATGTATCATGGTCTTTATGCTGGGAGGTTGTGCGGCTCTCAGCCTGGAATGGCCGGCACAGGCAGGATGAAGCCCGCCTCCTAAACAATATCAAGTGTGTCCATAGGAGCACAAAAAAACTTCATTTAATTAACCAAACAAAAAAGACGACCATGAAGTGCCGAAGTCAACACATTGGACTATTTTGGTTTAAGTAGACAAATGACCCAGACGCAGGCTAAATAATCAGATGCATGAAAGCCCCCTGTACGTAACCTGTTCCGTGCAGGATGGATAGACCTGTTAAATCTGAAGTACAAAAGGATGTAGGAGTGTATTCCTTGATGTCTCTACGAACTCTGAGGAGATGCAGATTGTCTAAGGGTAATGTCAAAAAAAGCATGTGACTCACGTGTTCTATATTATGGTATTAACCTCCTTAGAACTTGAACGTAGTCCTACAACAACCCCATTGATCTTATTTCAACTTTTCGGGAAGCCAATGACTTCAATGAAGTGGCGAGATGCTACTAAAATTTTTAAAAAGAGAGGATCAAAGTTCCCTGTCCTTAAATTGCCGTCAAGTACAACTGCTACATGGGTAGCATTGACCTGTTGGGTTGATTTGCTTCTCTCTATAAGTACCATCTGAAAACGAGGAGATGATACACGTACCTCTTTTTTGTTTGGTACAAGAGACATTGATTTCAAAGGAGGCCAATCCAGACTCGGAGGCAGTCAACGAACTCATATTTGCAGACGACCTGGCAATGATGAACAACAAGACTCAACTACAGGAGCATATGAGCCAGCTGCGAGAAATATGACATGAAGATCGGTGTTACCAAGACCGAGGTCATGGAAGTTAGCAGGAGACCAGACAGAGTGAATATCAACATCAATGGATCCAAACTAAAACAAAGCACCGAATTCAAATACTTTAGCAGCATTTTCACAGGAAATGGAAAATTAGATCCAGAAATAGAGATTGGATGCCGGAAAGCCAAAGCAGTCAGCTATCAATTCGCCCCTCTCATGAAACATCCCAATATCACCATGAGCACCAGGGCGAAGCTCATCAACGCCATTTTCCTACCAACACTCACATATCAGTGCCAAACATGGTCCCTAACAAAAGCCCTAGAGAGGAAGCTGGTCACATGCGAGATGAAATATTTAAGAAGAGCGGTTAACAAGACAAGAAGAGACAAAATAGATAATGAATCATAAGTGACACAGAAGGAGCAACACCAGTCCTACCACACATTGAAAAACTTAAGATCAAGTGGTTCGGACACCTCACACGGATGCCCTCAAACCAGCCAGCTCTGGGGGGCATATAATATCAAAATTTCTGGCTGGAAAGCCAGAGGAAGACAAAGGCGACGCTGGAATAAATATGCTCGTAGCAGACACCCTCAGAGCTCACGGAATGTCCCTCTTACAGGCCACTCGCTTTGCTTCAGACAGACGCCTTTATCTCCCAGCGACACCCACCTTTACAAGCGGAAGAAAAAAAAGTAAAAGTAAAGTACAAGAGACAATGCGGACTGCTTCATCCGAGATTTATAAAACAGTCAGTATTTTAAAGTCGCATTTCAACATACTTTATGGAAGCTAAAATTGCAGGACCAGGCCAACCATCTCTGAGTCAACCACCAAACCCAGAGGAGTCAAGAATCAATGTTCCACCGACCCCGGTTCGAAAGGATACAATTGATCATATTATTATTCTCACAGATTGCACTAGCAACAGGGGCAGATGTAAAAACAAGGGTGGTACCAACAGCTTCATTGCTTGCTTGAAGTGCAAAGTGATCGAAGCTGCTTCGTGGTTTTCTTTTTCGTATTTGAAATGTTGAACTTTTGACCTGTATGTATTATAACATTATATTCTCCGACTACGTTACTTATAATTATGGAAACAAGACAATAAATATTTCTATTACTGTCATTTTAACCACTGAGTACACTTCTTAAATTTTATCATTTCAGCTTTGACATGAGATGTGTGCCACTTGTGTCTCGAAATGTTTTTCATTCATCTAAGGCATGATGTGCCGTGTATAGTACATTTTCAAACTCGGTGTAAAAATAATTTTGTCAAAAATAATTTTGTCAAAAATAAAAGTCTAGATCTAGTCCATCAATTTGATGCATTTCCGTGCATCGTTTCAGATTTCAGAGTGCTTATGAACACTAGAACTAGCTACGGGTTCAAGAGGGCAAATGGTAAAATATATGTTTTGAAGAAAGAAAAACGTAAGGAACCTTTCATTTCACCCAGAAAGGACACTTAAGTGAATTTATGACCAAAATGTATTACCTCATGCGTTAAGGGGTTAGCAAGCTCTGATCTGACCTATGTCGATATGGAACTCCAACATGAACAAAACTACAATAAAACCTTGGTATGACGTTCATGGTTTGAACTCTTCACTGCCTGATCGTGAACATTGCGGTTTGAAAACATTGCCCCGCACTGGGCGATTTGGAAAGATGGGAAGAGGTAAACAGTAAATGTGGGTGGTTGGCGGGTGCACTGGTATGGTTTTCTTCTTCTTTCCTATCAAACATCTATGGTCCTTATCTTCCCTCCTTCTTTTCTTGTGTTTGTTACTCTCTTGTAACACCTCTAATCTTCTGGCGTTCATATGACCTTATGCAGTTGCGAGCGCCGTAAAACCTCTACTTTAAAAAAGCAACCAAAAATCGGTCAATTTTAGAATTTAAAAAGGAAAGAAATGTTTAACTTTTATTCTTTTAGACTGCGAAAAACATCGATGTTTATTTGTAAAACGCAGACATGAACTTATACTCTAAGGCCTGCTTTTTAATTCTAACAAAGAGCCTACGAATGTATCAGGTTTGACAGTAAAGAGGTAAAAACGTCCTATCGACTGCAACGTAAATTTTCAGAAGCCCATGTCCCAATGAATATTTTAACTTTTTGGCCAATGAGTACCTCGGCTGAAACGTTCAATATCCTAGGTCCAAAGGGAGTAAAAAGTAAAGTTGTTCCCGTATCCGATCCGGACATCGGGGATTGCCTTGTTAGTAAGACAACTTCCTGGGCCTTCGGCATATTGTGGTAGGGTGGCCAGTTCCTTTACACGCCGCCTTTACTTCCCCAACTCGAAGTCAGGTACCCATTACTGCTGGGTGGGCAGGAGGGGGCGAAAAAAAAATCCGTGTCCAAACCGAGGCTCGAAGCCAAAGGGAGTACCTTGTACATCTTATATCTAACTTTATTTGTTTTTCTGTTTCTCATCTACTTCCAGAAAAGTTGGCAAACTAGGCGATGGAGAAGTGCCAAGCATCACTGCCTCTTGGAAGGTGACGTCATCAGGAAAGAAAGCCTCGATCTCGTTCTGTGAGTGGGACTTTTTTTTATTGTACCTACATTATGTATCTGATAATTATTTTCTTGCCTCTTTTGGCATTAGATTTCGAATTACGACAAAATGTTTCATAAGCAAGAGTCGGTGACACGGGGATCAGATGGGTGGTCACTGGGGTGTGTCCTAGAGCTAGACACGACAACCCTAGCTCAAAATACAGGGCGCTGCATAGTGGCGACTGGCAGTGGCATGGTTGTAAACTGTTCTGTATTTGTGTAATATTGTGTATCCATGTATGTATTTATGCAAGTATTTATGTTTGTACGTCCTCGTATTTATAATTATGTATTTGTATATGTATATTTGAAATTGTAAACCAAAGTGCCCCTCTGGGACAAATAAAAGCGTAATTCATAATTCATATTTTACATTTATATACAACCCGACACCGTAGATAAAAAAATAGCAATAAAAAGAATATCTAAAATTTGGGGCGTGGTACATCTGAACAGCTAGCCCGCGATTTGAAAGTGCTTTAGACCCATCAGCACAGTAAAGGTCAGTTAGAAAGTGGGATGCGTCGACTCTGCGTGTCTGGGCCAAGCCCTGCTGAGAGGGACATACAACATTCCGGCAGACAGACATCGATTTTTTTATCAAAACAAAACAAAAACAAAAAACACTTCCCCACATGGGAGTCGAGTTTTCATCGTATGTGTGCGACAGCAAAGCGCCGAAGAGCTACAATAATGAAACTGGTTTACGGCGAGTGGCAAAATTGAATGATTCAACTTACGGCGTTCTTCCAAATCTGCTCGTGTTATTCACCTTTGCTGGATCCGGTCGAGAAAGTAACGATTAAGATTATAGGGTTAGGATAGGGTCAGCTAGGGTATTGTGTGGGTAACGATAAAGATAGACCCTACCCCTCACATACCCTTAATCGTACCCTTACCCCTACCCTACTCTACCCCTACCCCTGCCCCTACTCCCTCCCATACCCCTAGATCTACCCCTACCCTGATTATCTATTTCCTTACCTCTACATCTCCTGTCGCTAACCCTGTCTTGAAAGAGTCAGACAAGTAAAGCACTCGCTACTGATTTTTCCAGTTTGTTTAATATTAAATTTTTGAGGGGTTTTTTCACTTCATGGTTCATGAGATGGAAGACAGTTATGAAAAATATGCAGGTGAAAAACAATCCCACAAGAGGAATTGCCATGGCAACGGCCGCCATCTTGGGATTAAAAAAAAATAATTTATAAACCTAAAATCTCAAACAGTACTTTGGATGATCTTGTTTTTCTTTTCTGTGTCAAAGGGTAGGTCTATGTCTTTTCTTGCAGTAGGGACACGCTTTTTATCTCTGTACTGTTAAGATTATTGAAGTGAGGGGATTTTAAAATCTGGTGTTCATCAGTTACGTAATAAAGGTGACTAATTTGCACATATGAACACCTCTACTAAAAATCTATTGTAAAATCGGAGACATAAACTGCTATACTGTCTTCGGGTGTTAATGCACAACAACCATGCCAAGTTTCAGACATCCAGTCCAACAGCTTTTTGAGATTTTGTGATCATAAGAGGCTTTTTAAAAAGTACCTGAAAAATGAGCAACTGAGGAAAAAAAGGCTTTTAAAAAATTCCCTAATTGTACACATTACGATAGTCATAGGTTAACGATTTAAAAAATACATTTTCTCCCACTTATAGTCCAAATTCACGACTTTAGCTGAGTTTTTTTGTTTTGTTTTCTTTAGAGTTAAAACTATCGTTTCAGCAGTAGAACAAAAATTCGATATTTTTTACCCCAATTTCCGAATTATTGTGATGGAATCAGCAGCGATTTTTAAGTTTGATGACTCGGGTCAGGGGGAAAAAATACGGAAAAATACACAGCATGAGCAAAGTTTAAATCAGAGTTATGGATTTTACAAGTTACCCATTGTTGGCAGTATATATATTTTATCATTTTCATGTTCATGCTGTGTTCTGCATTTTTCTCGAAAAGACCTCAAAGTAACCTAACCCTGTATAATATTTCTGATCCATTCAATTGATTGAACTGAGCAGAGTGTTTGATTCTATCGGAGATCGAAATATTTCTTTATTGATCGTTTCTGTTTGTCTGTTGTCTCCACAGCCCGAGACAATATGAACGTATACCTAGACGGATCTCCTATAGAGTGTACGGTATGTGGTTTGTTTGGTTTGCTGGGGAAGTGAGATATAAGGATTAGGAGAAGGAAGAAGAATGTGAGGAGAGAGGAGACTGGGAAACGGGTTACAGTTGGGTTTTTTTTAAATTCAAACATGCTTAAGCTTACTCAGATACCTACACCCTCTCTCTCTCTCTCTCTCTCTCTCTCTCTCTCTCTCTCTCTCTCTCTCTC